CCCGCCCCACTCTCTCTCATCCTCCCTGGGGCTGCCTAGCCGGCACCCTCCATTGTCTGCGGCTCCACACTCAATGCTCATGGAAGCAGCAGCCAGGAGACCGAATCCCCTGTCGTGTGGGGCAAATCTATCACAAGAGATCTCGTGTTCAAAGGCCCAGGGGTCACTTGGAGGAGGATGGTGGGCGCACCTGACCCAGGCCCCGGTATTTCAGTCGCCTCGTCTGCCTGTGCAGGCTGGACCTCGGCAGACGTGATGCCTGTAAATTATACTCTTGGTGGAGGACCCGGACCGCTAGCACACACCTGCCCTGGCTTCAGGGCATCCCGAGTGCGCCCTAGAACGGAGCCCGGACAGACTTCGTCTCCCCTCCGTGGACATGTTAGGAGCAGAGGCCAGTCCCTGGAGAAGGACATCTGCTTGGTAAGATGGAAGGTCGGAGAGAAAGAGGAAGCCCCTCGGGGTGATGGATCGATGCAGTCTCTGTAGCCGTGGGCTCAAGCAGGTTTTGTTCTGTCACATGTGAGGTCCCTGTGAGCTGAACCTGACTTGATAGCACCTCACAACATAAACCCAACGTTGTCTGACGTGATCTCATGTACCTGTGTCCTCGGCTAGCCACTAGAAGGTCAGCCCCATGAAGATGGATACGTTGTCCCTCTCACAGGTAGTCCTGGTACCTGGCACTCAGTATAGACCTGGTGAGTGACAGGGGATGAAATGTGTGGACACACAGCTGCCCAGGGCCACCCAGCTGGCCATTAGGAGAGCTTGCCTTTGAACTCCAGACAGCCTGCTTCAATGGGGGCCCTTTCTGCCATGTGACCATGGTTCTGATGATCTGGCACCACCTTCTGACCTGGGGACACCTGCCTGTGGCAGGGTGGGATAAGAACCGAACTCCAGGTGTGGGCCTGCAGGGCCCCTTCCTGACATTGGCTCCTGCCTGACACTGTGGACTTTGAACGTCCTATGCAATCATCTTCCTGTTGGAGGGCTACCTGGGGGCCCAGGGGGAGGTCAGCGGGTCTGCAGGCATGCGTCAGCTCCCTCCAGGAGCCCCTCCCTGAGCTTCCCAACAGCAGCAGATGGACATCTCCCAGGGTGTAGTCTAGCTGGGAGACAGACTGATGCCGGTAGAGCAGCAGGACCACCAGAGTGACCTGTGGGGCCAGAGCTGTGGGCTTGGGGCCTAGGGTGGGAGGGGATGGGAAGGACTGGGCAGAGACAGACTGGAGGGACGCCGAAAGCCTGAGTTCAAACTCTACCTCAGCCACCTACCAGCTGTGAGACCCTTAGCACGTGACTCAGCTTGTACCTCGGTTCCCCATTTTTAAAGTTGCGGTGCCCACCCTTGCCAGGCCTCAGGGTGATTTGAGGCTTAAATACAAGGATTCCTCTACAGGTCTCAGAACAGGGCTGGGCGTGTGACGAGTGCTCCCCCAGTGTTGGCTGTCCTTGTCATTAAGGAAGAGGAGGCCTGGCAGGGAGGGTGTGGGTTGGCAAGTGCAGGGGAGGCAGGGCACCGTGGGCCCTTCCAGGCCCTGCTCAGAGTGGTGGAATCCCAGGTTCAAGTCCCGTTCTCTCATGAATGGCCTGTGTGGCCTTGGTCCAGATCGTGAACACCTTTGGGCCTCGTTTCGTAGCTGCAGAAAGAGGATACGAGACCAGAGCGCAGTGATGTTCCCAGCGCACTGCGCAGCATGCAGTGGGGACTCCGGTTTCATGGGGGCACAGAGAAGTTAACGTGATCGCCCACAGTCACCACGGGGAGGAAGTAACCCAGCGAGCTGTGCTTGTGCCTGGTGTTCGTGGTCTTGGCAGAGGGGCTGGCTTGGTCTTCGATGGCGGTGAAGGAGTTTGCAGGGATGAGGAGGGAGGGAGCAGTCACTGCTTCCCAGAGGCCCTTGGGAGCAGACACTGAGTGACCGCAATGCGGTCACATTTCTGAGAATCCGTCATCTCTTACCCAACCGTGACCACTGGCGACAGGGCTCTTCCTTAGCAACCTCCTCTTCCCTCCTTGGCTACCCGAGCCTTAGTCACTGGGACCTTTTGGCCAACAGGGAGGAAGCAGAGCTCCTTGCACCGCGCTGGGAGGCATGGGTTGAGGGCCATGGATGTGCCAAGGGTTGGATGCCTTTCCCTGCCAGGCCCCATCTCCAGGCATACAGGGGTCCCAGCCAAGCCCCCGTGCTCCGATGCACCTGGCGAGGCCAGAGAACGTCCTCCCCCACGTTCCTTCCTCGGGCTGAGGCCGCCCGTCTCCTTTGTGCCGTGTGGGGAAGCCATGACAGGAGCCGCCCTGCGCCAAAGATGGAAGGGGCCGCGGGGACCCTCTCCTGGGTAATGGGTCCCCCAACCTGCATCGCAGTCATGAACACCTCTGGGAGACAGCTGTGTTGCGATGAACCTAACATTCCACTGGCAACGCCCTCGATTTTCACAAAGCTCACATTTATTTTAAAGGGAACAATGTCATCTTCTAAATCAGCATTTCCCAGTGGCTGATACTGGACCCCCCAAGCCCCTACCTGCCCAGGGGGAGGCACTCGAATGGTCCAGTGTGGGGTGGGGGCAGAGGCAAAGTAGATAGGTATACTTTCTCCTGATTCTAGCTTCTGGTCTAAAAGTTGCTAACTGCCTGGAGAATGCGGAGTAATTCCACCCCACCCCCCGGCCTGAAAAGTGGGTGGTAGGCCAAATCAGTTTGGGAACTTATGTTTCAAGTGGATCATTCGTATGGCTAACCACGGATCAAGAAGCCCTTGTGGCATAGTGGGTTATGTGTTAGGCTGCTAACGACGAGGTCAGCAGTTTGAAACCACCAACAGCCCTGAGGGAAAAAGAGGAGTCTTTTAGATGGCGGAGAGTCTGGTTTGGTTGGAACCACAGATACGTGAGCATTGGGCTGCCAACTGCAAGGTCAGCAGTTCAAACCCACCAGGATGCGGCTGCCGTTCCGGTAGAAAGCGTAAACGGGTTGAGTCAGAATCACCTCCGTGTCAGTGGGTGTGAGTACAACCGTGAACGAAGGAGACCGCACTGTGAACATGGTCCCCAAACAAGATCAGCGCCCTAGGGATGCGTCCGCATCACCCAGGCCTGCACCTGGCACAAGATACCCCAACCCCAACCTCCTGCCCTCGAGGCCAGTCTGACTCCGCAGCCCTGCAGGACCGGGTGGGCCTGCCCCTGTGGTTGCAAGTCTTCCAGGGCGTAAAGAACCTCGTCTCTCTCCCACAGAGGCTGGGGTGCAGGCTGGGGGTTGTGTCTAGCGCTACCAACTTTGTGGTTGTGAGCAGTCCGAGGCGTCATCCTCTGAGCCACCAGCCTCTTGGCCACATATCAGAATGTCCCCAAAGTCTGAAAGGATGTGGAGGCCCGAGGACGGCTCGAAGCGGCTTCGACAGCCACCCGTGGCCATTGAGTGGATGCTGACCCGTGGCGGTGCCTCTGTGTGTGTGTGTGTCAGAGTTAAGAGAACTGGGCTCCACTGGGGTCTTCAAGGACCCATTCTTCAGAAGGGGCTCTCCAGGCCTTTCTTCCGAGTGGCCCCCCAGGCCCACGTGGAGACCTTCTTCTTGCCACGCTCAGAGAGTCCTGAAAGGGACACGACTGAGAGTTCTTTAGGGCCACGTCTGGCAGCCATCGATGGACTTCATGCCTCCTCACACAGCCTACGTGTGAGGGGTGAGGGGTGGGCGATACACCCAGGAGGAGTGGGGGCACGGAGTGAGGTCGGATCTCGGCCGGCCCCTGCCCCGCCCCTGCACATTCATCAGGAGGGACAGGGTCCCCAGAGGAGGGCCCGGTGCCCACACAAGCTTCCCCATCAGGGTCGCACCTGTGTGCCCCTGCCCAAGTTCTTGTGGATCCATGGAATAGAAAGCCCACAGGTGGTGGCAGCCATCACTGCCCTCTGCTTGGCTTTCCCCAGAACCAGGCCTGGGCTCCTGCTCCCACCAGGGGCTGAGGGCTGGGAGCCCCACACGAAGCCCTCTGCCCCTGAGGATTCTGGGACGGGCAGGCTGGCACAGGCTCTGCCTCGGGCTGGAGAAAGCCAAGGGCCAGGCACACGAAGTCCGTGCCACCGCCTGGCCAGAGCCTGCGGGGATGCCCACAGGGCCCCGTCACAGGAACCTCACGTCGCCCGTCACAGAGGCCTGGCACAGGAATCTCACGTCGCCTCTGACTCACCCCTTGGGGATGGGGTGGGGGGAGGGCTGGGCGTGGGCTGTCCCTCTCACCTTTGTGCCCACTCTGGCTCTCAGATCAGCCAAGCAGCTTGAGGTTCCCCCTCCCTCCCCGGGGCAAACATTTTCTCGGGTGGGAGGGGTGGTGGGGTCAGGAGGAGGAAGGAAGATGGGGCCAGCAACTGTGGCCCTGAGTTTCCTGACCGTGGAAGCGGAACCCCTCAGCAGGGGGCTGGCAGGCTGTGCTGCCCTGGTGCTGGGTGGGGGAGGCTGGGGTTCCTGAAGGCAGCAGACAGATGACGCTCAAAGAACAGTCATAGTGGATGGTTGCCCCCAGAATAATGCACGGGATCATTTGTTCCACTTGAGCATCGAAGGCTTTTAATTAAAAAATAAGCCAATGGGCGCCGAGCCTCCAACTAGCTTGGTAGCTTCTGCCCTATAATAAGGCTGGGGGGTGGGGGCGGGAAGCCAAGTCACAGCTGTCCCAGACAAGCCTTCAAGCATGGCAGCCCCCACCCCCAGCTCTGAGGGGTGGAGTCATTTGAGTGTGCAGCCAATGGGGCATCTGCCTACCTGCCCACTGCCAAGATCCCTACCTGCCCACTGCTCCCTCTGCTCACGTCTGTGCCACACCACGGGGCAGGGAAGCCACACGGGTCCTTGAGGAGACAGAGGGGCTGGCCTATGTACTATGACTCGATCTCTAGGGGCCGGGTGTGTGTGTATGTGTGTATGTGTGTGTGTGTGTTTGTGTGTGTGTGCAGGCAGAACAGAGTGGAGGTGGCATGGCTGTTTGATGTGGCTTTTCCCCCTTCCACTCACCCCCACCAGGGGCTCTCATTCAGTCACACAGGGGGTGGGGGCTTCCCCAGTATGGGAATAGGGTAAGGGAGCCAGGTTGGGGCGGGGGGGTGCTTCTCTGTGACTCCGTCACGTCTCCTTGGGCCTGTGTTCCAGAGCTGGAGAGGGGACAGCCCCCAAATGGCAGTGACACATGTGCATCCCCTGTGGGCAGAGGTCACTCACTGGTCCTGGCCTGAGTGTCTGGCAAGGCCCCCGGGGGCCTGTGACGTTAGAGCCAACCTTCACTTGTAACCACCCCCACAGAACTCCCTAGCAAGGGTCACACCATTCTCTCAGACACAGCCCAGTGTGGGCGTCCTCGGGTCTGTAGCCCCTGCATGGCAGCGGTGGTGAAGCTGGTTGTAACTCCTGGGTCGAGGCTCCTGGCTGGCTGGGCCCTATCTCTTCTCTCCTCCCCTCCCGCCCTCCCCGTGGAGCTGAATGGCTGTGGCTGCCAGTGTGGCAGGTGACACCAGCCCCACCAGTCAGCAAAACAGGACCTGACTGTCCTTTGCATGCTCTGTAATTTGCCCCTGAGATCAGCCATTAAGTCATTTGTGCAGCTGATGCCAAGGATAAGGGCCCCGTATCAGCCTCTGGGATCTGCGGGCCAGACTCCCTGGCTCTGTTGTGGGCTTTGCCACCTCAGCCTCCAGACTGACCCGGTAGGGAGAGATGGAGCCTCCGATGCAGGTGCCTAGGCCCCCGGGGCTTAGCCTTGGACCCAGTGTGGGTGAGCAGCTGGTCGAACATGTGCTCCCATTATACAGATGGGGATACTGAGGCGTGAGAGGTAGCCTTGGTCCCCCGGGAACCAGAAAGGACCCCAGGAGCTTCTCTCTTGTAGGCCAGCCTCTGCATGCCCCTCAGACCATACTCTCCCAACCCCCAGCACACATACATGTAGACATAGACCCTCAAGCAGTCAGACCGAGCCGGACCGCCTACCTATCATATAACAACACACAGACGCCTCAACACGATCATGAGCAGTTCCTAAGTCAAGCGAGGACATGGGAGTCCACAGGATTGTCTGGGCATTGGGGTCTTCCAGGGGGAGCCGGGAGGGTCTAGGGAAGGGACAGGGACCGGGGATCAGGTCTGAGGGGCTGGGTTTTGAAATCCCACACTGCTGCTGAGGAAGCTGGGGGTGGAGGAGTGAGCACTGGGGCAACACCACCTCAAACAACACCTTAGGCGCCCACCCACCTAAGCCTCTCTGCTTCAGCTAGGTCTTGCCCCTTCCCAGGGCGCCAGGCATCCCACACACACCTGGGGCTCGCCACATCCGCACCCGGGCTGGCAGCAGGGGCGCGGGTGGCAGGAGGTATGTAGATTCCCTCCCTCTGGGTCTCACTGCTCCGTGTCACCTTGCTCAAATGCCTGTGCTGCCAGTGGCGACCTGGGCGGCTCTGAGCTCTGCTGGTGGCTGGCTGAGGTGATGTAGGGAAGTGAGGGGGTAGTGGAGGGAGGTTCTGTTAGTTCATATCCCTCTTCCCCTACCGGAGGGACCTGAAATTCCCAGGAGGCCCAGCGGGGAGAGTCCACGGCCTCGGCAGAATTCCCCTCCAGAGCAGTCCCGTATAGGGGGAAGTGCGTCGCCCTGGGCCCTGGGATTTCCCTGCACTCTGGGGGAAGAAGCCTTGACTGCTTCTTAACTGGAAACTGGTCACAGGCCTCCAGATCCCAGTCATCCCAGTACCACAGGGGGTGGGGCTCGGGGACCATGTTCTGGCCTAGTTTGGCCACGTAGCTGCATCATGGCCCTGGGAGCTGACCCATAGGAGGCAGAGAGGAGGGGGCAGGCAGGGAAGATAAAGGTTTCTAGGTAGATGGCAGGAAGCTGCATCCTACCTAGGGCTGGGTCCTCCTCTGGTGTAGAAGCCATCCCCAGCTGTCCCGGAAATGAGGCATCATCCCAACCGGGGAATCTAAGTACAGAATATGACACTGAACCCAAGGGGACACACATACAGGTGTGCACACAGCCCCCTCATGTCCCCAAATGAACACACACACACACACACACACACACACACACACACACACAC